AAGTGAATTTATGTCGTATAGAGTCTTTATGTGCGTGAAGCTTTTGGTTGTCTCTCCATGCATGCATGTAGGTTGTCTAGATAGTGGGTGACAAGGGGTAGTTGGAATTATGACCAACAATGGATTCAGAAAATTTAAGTAACGCGTGATAAATATCTGATTTTAGGGAAAAATTTTCCATGTTCTACCAAAACAGTAGAACAAATTTGCAAATGTTTATATCAACGCGTAACGTTACTATAGAAATTACGAACCAACAACAGGAAATCGGAATCGTAAGAGATATATAAAAAGCACAGCATCCTGAAAATTCTGAAACAAAAATCTGTAGTATATGATTATAAAATTTTATGGAACCCCTGTTCCCAAAAACAACAAATCAGTCTACCAAAAATATAAAACCTCATATCTAAAATATTATAGGGAGATTAATAGAAATAGTCATTTTCATGCCTTGGTTTTCTTCTCTTAGTCATTTATCTCCCATTATTTCAAAAATGTCACCACCTCCGCAAGTCGAGGATTGTCACTTGCTGATGTAGTGACATTTTTGAAATATTGGAAGAGAAATGACTAAAGATGAAACCAGAGCTTGAAAATGGTTATTTCAGTTAATTTCCCAGTATTATAAGCTGCTAATATTATATAACCATAATCAACAAATCAATCTAAGAAATAATGACTCGATGAATAATAGAGAAGGTATGCAAAAACAGAACCCCAGATCACCAAAATAATCCAATGAGAAACGATCAAAGAGAAAGAGAGTGTATGAAATATAGAAAGCCAAACACTAAACAACAGATTAATATAAACAACTAAGAAAAAAAAAAAAAAAAAAAAACAGATTTGAAATAGGAGAAGAGAGTGTGGAACTGTGGACAGTGCAGGAGTTGGCCGTGGTTGGACGTGGTCGCTTTGCCATTCTCGGAGCGCAATGTACAAGGGGGAACATTGACAGTTGAGTGAGGTAATTGCAGATGGAAATAGGGCAAAACTAATGAGAGGGAGGGTAAAAAACTTTGTTTTTTCAACCTTGTCTAACAATTTCTTTTGACTCTTGACTAGGGGTCTTTTCCCTACTTTTGATAACGTATATCTGCCCCCGGTCATCACAACCTCGAGATTAGGTGCAACCACATGGTAACCATGGCTAGCCAAATGATCAGTCTCATGGCGCCATGAAAACCACTTCTCCAACCAAAGAGCCTTTTGGCCTATTAGGAGGTCAGGGGTTCAAAACTTACAAAAATGAGGATGACGTATGAGTTTATTTGCTGCATATAAATATTATATACTTAAAAAAAATCACGTCTCTAGGAAGCAATGAAGGAGAAGCGCTAAGTGGCCCTTATTATTGGTATTGATTCTATGGTTTTTTATATAGAACCCCAACATATGACAAAAATGCCCCTGATTTAACGACTGGAGTTAACAAAGTTACGTCAACCAACTCGTGACAAAATAAAGCACGTGGACGCTCAATGTGGTTATTTTCGATCAGGAATTTGATTCAACCACAGAGACGAAGAGTATAATTCACGGTTTTTAAATAAATTATTTAATTACATATGATAATTGGAGTTTTGTTACAACGGTATAACATTATAATTTATCGAGTTACTGTAAAAAATTATTTACTGTATTCGTAAAATAGAGAATCAAAAGTCAAAATATATCTAAACGAATTACATTTAACTCCAACAAATCTCTATTCGTTCATTATATTATTAAAAATATTCTACAAATTTATCGTCACAATACATTTTTTTGAAAAGAATTTATATAATAAAAAATATATAATAACTGAATCTCATTGGTGGAAATGAATAAAAAATAAATTTCTCTCTCCCTACATCAAGTTTTAAAAGATTCTCAAGACTTTGATTTTTCTCTATTTTAGAGAAGGATAAATTGAATAGAAAAATAACATACTTTAACTTGATTTTTTTTTTTGTAACATATTTTTAAAACTTCTATTTTGGTACCTAAGATGTAAAATTTTAAAGATTTAAGTACTCGGGGAAATGTGGAAACATTAACCGGTTACCATATTGATATGACGAGTAATGAAATGAAATTGGGTTGAATAGCAAATAATACTGAGTTGGATATCATATCACTCGCCACATTAGCATGGTAACCGGTTAATACTTCAACTGTTTACTCAGATACTTAAATATTTAAAACTTTACATTTTAGGTACCAAAAGAGAAGTTTTAAAAGTACGTTACCAAAATAGAAATCAAGTTAAAGTACCTTATTTTTTCATGCAATTTGCACTTTAGAGAACAATATAGAGAATTTGTTGTAACAAAATAGAGATAAAAAATCTAATTTTCTTTATTTTATAGAATTTGTTGCAGATATTCTAATTACAAAAAAGTTAATATAGAATATTTAGAGAATTTAAGAATAAAATATACTTGAAATACTGTATTTGCTGTTAAAAATAATGTATTGAATTAATATTGAATACTGTTTTATATCAAATTGTACATCGTTTTAACTATGAAAAACTGTAAACAGTTAAAAATGCTCTAACGATAGAGGAAATATAAAAGTAAGCAGCTGGAGACCACAAAGGCACGAACTTTATAATCATCTTTAGTTCACTAACGACCTCAAATCAAGGAATCAAAGTGATTGTTGGACCCGCCATTGTCTGTTTAAAGTTAAAATATGAAATAAGTCGATTACAGTGTCATTTACTCAAATGTTTATTTGATAAGCAAATATCAGTAGAAGTTAACTCTTTAACTTATTTTATGAGGTAAGATTGTAGTTCATCAAATGAGATCGTATGCAACTATTTATCTGGTAAGCGCTTACCTGTGGCAGTACAAGGGGCTGTTTGGTTAGTTATTCGTTAAGTCATGTATGTATAAAACTGACTGTGTGTATTAATATGCATGTACAGATTGAGAAGATCTTTGTTTGTGAGGGTTTTTCATATATTGAAGGAGCTTGTCTTTTAACCGGGAGAGACAGATTTGAAAAAATCTTGGCTTTCTGTAGAAAACCCTCTATATATCTTATTGAATAAACCATTTTCTATATCATTAAGCCACCACCAAACAATCGTTTATAGCTGATTGAATAAGCTGTAAATCTTATTAAGTCAATTGAGTTGGTAACAAACATACTTTAAGTGTCGTCACTCTCAATTACCAGATAAAACTCTCCATCCTTATCATCACTTTTACCGGGTAAGATTTTCGACCTTTGCTATGCTCATTTGGTAAGATAAATGACCCGGTAAATGCTCAATACAACGTTTGGTAAACAACCCATAAAATTGTTTTTTATTTAAAATTTTTGCTAAAAAGTGAGTTAAATTTATCTAAAGTCACCTAATGTGTTTCAAATATTTACATCTCAAAATGTTGTATGGGCCTCAATGTGAATATAACTAGTCCAGTAGTCTACATAACCGGTCATAAGTGTTCATTCTAACCGGTCCAACCGTCCAAGACCTTGACCGGTCCAAATAATTGTCTACCTGAATGGCTGAAACTAATGGGCCTTACCATTCTTATTGGGCTTTTGGGCCCCAGTTTGGGCTTTTGGCTCTATATAATAGAGATGGATAAAGTGGGCTTGACTTGGCCCATGATTGAAAACCAGCCCGACATGGGACCGATTGGGATTCGTTACAAGTTTTATGGGAAACCAAGTCCGGTCCCAAAGGCTGGTTATGTGTATTAAAATAGCTGTAGGTAGATAAAACTAGTTAGATCATCTCTAACAAATTATTCAAAATAAAGAATCAAAAGTCAAAATCTTCAAAGATATAAACAACTCATTGGGGAGTGAATTGGTCACTTCACCTGTTTTATCCTGTCCATTTTATCTTACCACACGCTGAACAACCGTTATGTTCTACCTATCCGGATACTAAACGCACCTTTAGCTCTTCCGTAAATCATGAAAGGGTACCATCCAGGGATGGTGATTTGCTATGACCTAGTGGGGAACCCGGTTCACCTGACCCTAATCAGACCGGGGATTCCATGCTAAACCGTGTCCTAGGTCTGGGGCCAATGATCCCCGGTAGGCTCAAACTGGGGTTAGGGCCGAGGTCGGGTAGCGTATCCCCCGACCCCTCGTACCCGACATCTAAAATAATTTAATTTATGATATTGATTATATGTAGTATATGCATTATTTATGTATTTTCTAAAATTAGGTTTTCACAAAATTCTAATTGAAACCACATTGACATGGACGTCTTCACTTCTTCACGTTACCACCACCAGACGACAACGAGAGACGACCATATTTTAGCTACACCTTCCATCGGCTAGACCATATTGGCAGCGCCTCACCTTCCGTCGACGACCACAGTCCACACCAGCCTCACCTTCCGTCAATGACCAACACCCCTGTCTCTACTACTCCGCTCATTCCACTTTCAGATCCATGCTTGATTGTTAAATTGATGTATTATTGTTTGCTTGATGTTTGATGTATCCTGTTTTGATATATTGCTGCTATTTTGTGTTTCTTTAAATTTCATTCTCTAAGTAAAAATGTAAAATGGGCAGAAACAAGAACATCCGAACATGGGAGAAAAAAGGGGCAGAAAAAGGCATCCAAAACCGGGTTTGGACCTGGTTGGGGAACAGGTCTTGATCGGGGATGGGGATCGAAGTTTGACCGGGTTTGACCAGAAAATAAACCGGTGACAGAATATTAATCCTCGTATTCATCGGAGATCGAAACCAGGGTCCGTTAATAAAAACCGAGGCTAGAGCCAAGGATTAGAAAATCCACTCCATCCCCGTCTCGTTACCATGCCTATAACTATATTTTAGGAATCCAGTGTAAGAAATGGTTAATGGAGGAATGTGAGCCTGAAAATGGCTATTTCCTTTAACCCCTTCTTTTTAATTCGAGAAAACATGAAGCAGGTGATCATGTGGCATCGATACACTACATAACCTACCACCCATTTTAAAAGTGTTTATAGCGTCCACTCAATATCCACAGACTTCCAACCTTTACCTACTTCCCACCCTCCGCCAACCGCCACCGCCACCAACCATGCCACCGCCGCCCAATTTCCCACCGCTACCCCCGCCACCACCGTTCTTCTGGGGAGAAACACCGGAGGAAGAATACTACAACTCCCAAGGCGTCCGTAACTCCAAATCCTACTTCCAAACCCCAAACGGGAAAATCTTCACTCAATCATGGCTTCCTTTAGCCGAAGATCAACCGATTAAGGCCGTCGTCTTCATGACTCACGGTTACGGATCCGATTCCAGCTGGTGTTTCCAGAAGATCTGTATCGCGTATGCGAAATGGGGATACGCCGTCTACGCTGCAGATCTGATTGGTCACGGCCGTTCGGAGGGACTCCATGGATACATCGGAGATATGGATAAGGCCGCCGCTACATCGTTATCTTTCTACACTAGTGTTCGCCGGAGTGAAGAGTACCGTAATTTTCCGGCGTTCCTTTTAGGGGAATCGATGGGCGGATTGATCACGATGCTTATGTACTTCCAATCGGATCCTGACATGTGGACCGGATTGATCTTCTCGTCACCACTTTTCGTCATACCAGAAGGCATGATTCCGCCCAAGGTAATTTCAATTTCAATTTCAAAATTATTTCATCGGAATTTTCGGTTTGTGATGGATCCGCTCGGTGCAAATTACCCGGTTGATGCATTAATCGGTTACCATATAGTAATGAAATTAAGAGAAATAGCCTTTCGAGAACCAAATTCATCTGTGTTTGGAATTGCTTATAAAAATAACTTATTTACTTAATCCGGTGTGACATCGGTAATAAACACTTTTGAGTATTTGGATAAATAACTTATATCAGTGCCAAACCGGTAATAAGCAGTTTTTGAAGAAGGTAAACCCTTCTGACTTGTAATAAATTGATGAGTTCCCTTGTCTATGCTGTTATATCGGTCAGAATACGAAATATCGGTCAGGACCGATATTCGATATATCGGTTATATCGGTGATATATCGGTGATATATCGGAAATATCGGTTAACATAATATTTCTTAGAATTATATATATATAATATGCATTAATTAGAGTTTAGAAATATAGTTTCAAAATTAAAACATCACATCATTTAAAGTGTTCAAAAACAAGCTAATCGCAARCAATAGGTTCGGAGTAGTCCGTCGACTAGAAGAAAAACAGAGGAGATCGAGAAGAGAGCTGGAGTGGCTTGGGCGCTTGGCTCTGTGTAAGTCGTACCGAGAGAAGAAAAGCGAGAGAGAAAAGAGAGAGACCGAGAAAGAAGTCTGACTAAGTTTAATGTTAGATTTAGACCTAATTTACTAAGCAGCCCAAAAAACTAAGGCCCATGGCTTAAAAAAAAGCCCAAATTTTAACCCTTGTAAAAATCGGAATATCGGACCGATTTTTCACTAAAATATCGCTCAAAATATCGTCAAATATCGCCAAATATCGCCGATAATATCGTTGGCGATATTTTGGCCGATTTTTCATGAACGATTTTTTTTTTTCAAGCGATATCCGATATATCGCCGATATATCGGCGATATATCGCGATTTTGACAGCATAGTCCCTTGTAGAAAAATACAAGTTGTTTCAAATTTTGAAAGTTGTTTGAAAGTTCGATTAAACCTTTGGCTGTTTTGAAATTGAAGCTACATTTAACGATGTACGGGCTTCTGTTCGGACTAGCGGATACGTGGGCGGTGATGCCAGATTCCCGGATGGTAGCGAAGGCAATCAAAGACGTCGAGAAACTAAAGATAATAGCGGTGAACCCAAAACGATACGCTGGAAAACCAAGGGTAGGGACGATGAGAGAGGTCGTGAGAGTGACTAATTACGTACAGAACAACTTCGATAAGGTTACAGCGCCATTTTTGACGCTCCACGGGACTTCCGATGGACTTGCCTGCCATTCTGGTTCGGAAATGTTGTACGAGAAGGCTGCAACTGCCCCGGAGGATAAAGCAGTGAAGTTGTATGAAGGAATGTACCATTCGTTGATTCAAGGGGAACCCGATGAATCCGTTGATCTCGTGTTGGCGGACATGAAAGCTTGGATCGACGAGAAGGCGAAGAAGTTTGGTCCCGGAAACTGATACGTGTTCTTCGTGTTCAAAAAATAAATCGTTAATTTTGTAATATGTTACTAATAATTATAATGAAAGTTGTCTTTGTGAATTAAAAAGTACCGTTAATTTGTGATTCGTTATGGATAACGGCGAGTGTTGTTTTGATTTGCATTGGATTTTCCATGTCCGTTTTTAGTAACAGAAAAGCCCCGTTTGAATACCAGATAGGTCCCGTATTCGATCCCTCCAAGCGACCATGTGTTCATTTCAGACGTTGAGTAAGCCAAAAAATGTCTTCTTAGGGGCTGTTTGGTAAATGCTGAATGGTTTGGTGCAGAATAATTAAGTGGTGAGAATGATTAAGAGGCTCTCATGATATATTGAAAAATGAAATATAATTGTTTGGTAATTGTTTACAATAAAATTAGGGCGCTGAATGGTTAAGGGAGACCCAAGATGCAAAATCATTAAGAGGATTTTAGAATCAAGAAGATTTTAGAATCATTTAGAGGCAAACTTTTTTTCGCCAAACAAGATTCACCTTTTAACGATTCAGAGACCACATCTTAATGGAACTATTAAGAGGTAAACAAAGAACTCTTTACATTTTTGTGCTTGGTAGAGGGCTGTGTGTGGGGATTATTGAGGTTACAGATAGTCAACTTTTTGACCAAATAACAGAAAAACCGAGCCGGACTTAACCGGACTTTGAAAAAAGTTTGTATGGTTGAGCTTTTAAAGTCCTGGCCTAGGAATAAGTGGGGGCTTATTAGACACATGCCTCTTTGGATTTGTTAACAGCTTAACGAGACTTAGAACTTATTTAGTTAGCTATATATGATTGTTTAGTAGTGGTTTAATGATATAAAAAGTGACTTTCAGTAATCTTCTAGGGGCGAACTTTTTGCAGAAAGTCAAGTTTTTTCTTTTTCCAAACCTCCCCCTATTTAATTGAAAAACAACCTCATTCTATCTATGAAAAAAACTATACAGATAAAAACCTTCTGAATCCATACAAACAGATTAATCCACACGAACAACTTTATTCATACAATACTTAATGGAAAACCAACCAGTTACATATTAAGTGCACATGTAGTTGGTTGTACAAATCCATACCAAAAACTACAAAAAATTGGGATGTTACAAGAATTTTTTGAAATGAATTTGAGGTTTAGAACATGTGGGTTCGTTACCGGCAACCACTTGTCGACATTATTACTCCTGTCCCAAAAACATCATGTGAGAAAACAAATCAGATACACAACGGTTCATAAACATCATGTTAAAAAACAAATCAGATACACAACAGTCCGTTAATGGGTTTTGATTCATCTCTTTTGGAAATTGAAGGTTTTGATGCAGTAAGCAAATATAAACCCGAAAAACAGAACAAATCCGATGTTTCCTGCGACGGTTTGACCAAGAAAATCGTGTCTGTAGCCTAAGTACCGTTCCAGGTACCCTTTCACGGTCTCGCCATTGGTAAACCGGTCCTCATAGTCGCCGAACTGTGACGCTGCCATGCCGTAGATGGTCCACGCAAGCGGATTACACCAATAGTACCATTTCCACCACACCGGAATTTTCTGTAAACACCCGCGATTAGTAATCAAGAACAAGGGATTAATTAAACGAGTCAAAATCGAAGTCGTCTTGTTGCAAAATAACCAACTTGTTAGAGGTTGTTTAGTTGGTTTTCTATCAGGTTTGTATAAATAAAACTGTCTGTATGATTAATCTGTTTATATAGATTAAAAAGGTTTTTGCATAAATAGAAGTAACGTGTGTTTTTTAATTATAAGGGGGCATATTTTTTTTTTTGGCTTTCTGTATAAAGCTCCCTTAGAAGCTTACTGAATAAGCTACTTTCTATATTATTAAGCCACAACCAAACATTTCATGTATAGCTGACCGAATAAGTTGTGAGTCCCGTTAAACTTATTAAACAGCTAACAAGCTAACAAAGAGACTTCTAGTCTTTAACCAATTATACCAATTATAATGGTTTAGCCCATTACTCTTTTAGCAAATTCTCATTTAGCAAATTTGGCGATTCATCAGGGACGAATCCATAAATTTTTTCAAACGGTGGCACAATTTGACTATAAGAAAAAGATATAGGAAAAAATTTCAAACGGTGACACCATTTGACTATATGAAACAAATATACAGAATTTTTTTTTCAAACGATGACACTATTTGAGTAAGAAAATGACACTAACATGATTCGAACCTGATTTATTGGATAGAAATAGCAGGGGTTCCAATCTTTACGTGATTGGTGTAGAACTCCACAAAATTGGAATCACAAAATCTTTGGGAGCTCACATTTTTCTTATGCTATTTGTATAAAAGTCCAAAAAGATGATTTTTTTCCGATAGGACCCCTTCGATTTTGGCTAGTTTAGCAATTACACGAGTTGTAGAATTAAGAAACTTACGGGTCGTGGGATGATGAATCCCGAGAACAGATTGAAGAAGCCGAAAAACGCAGCTGCGACGATGAACGCAACGTTGACGTTGGGGGTGATGGCGACCGTCATCATGCCGTAGAACGTCATGTAGAGTAAACAACAGAATTGGAAGAAGGTGTACCAGAAGAATTTGGTGGCGGTCCATTCGAACCCGATCATGGCGTAAACTATGAGACTGTAAACAATCGTTTGTGCGAAAATGTAAGGTATCTCCACAAGAACCTGCGTAAATTAAACACAAAAGCTTTGTAATCTCGAACAGGAAAGAAGATCATTGTTACAGTATGCGTAACCCTTTACATTACTGTCCAAAAGTGCCATATCTGCCATATATTGAAGAGACGCTACAACAAAATTGGCTTTATAGGACGTCTACAATGTCTAAGCGCCATAATTCGTACATACTTACAAACTAGTTTTCGTGTATTGTTTCATATGTGAAAGAACACGTGTGAAAATGCAGTGTTTATACAATGTTGTTTAATATGTGAAACATTCATTACAATGTTTTCCCACACACAATATATCGTTCTGAATGTTTCACGTATGAAAAAAACACTGTATAAATATTGCATTTTCACATGCATACACATGGAAAATGGTTTGTAAGTTTGTACGGTTTATTGGGTTTGCAAATAATTACGCGTCTATATAACTATTACATATTTTAAAGAAAACATATATCGAAGAGAAAGTATGCGAGTTTAGCCGATGTTTGATTGTAACAATCATAACTAAACACATGCTCGGGTAGTTACCTGAGCCAAGGCGTACGGTAAAGCGGAATACATTCCGGCAGCTCGTTCTCGGTAAAAGACGGTTCGTTCAACGTCTATGACCGGTTGCACCGCTGATCCGTTTTGGACACCTAAGAAGAGAACCGCGGCATACATAGAACCCATTGCGTTGTTTAGTTCTTGTGGGGTTTTCCTGAAATGCATACGAACAAAATCGTTGAGTCGATGTAACAAAGCAATGATTCCTGATTGGTGTTTTAGTTTCGGATTTTTACCGTTTTCTACCAAGATCCCAAAACATAGTACCAAACATGAAGGCGATAAAAGTGGTGAAAGCGAAACGGACTGCGGTGTAAGAAGGGTTCCGCCAATAGGACCATCGTTGTTTCCATAGAGAAGCGATACATTGGACGACGAAAGGCTGAGCGTATTGAGTCGGGAAGTAGAGATCTTTCGTACCGGGTGGTGGTATGCTTAGCTCGGCGATTAGGGCCTTGTTTCTCCTGTGACGGTACATCGGATTTTATCAGAAAAAAGAGAGAGCAAAGTGGTTCTTGTAAGATACGTGGAACTCTTTTGAATCTCTCTGTAAAAAAACCCTTATAGATAGAGGAAAAATCAATATATATATATACACTTGGGATCATGTGAGACCAAGAGTTTTTCGTGAGACCCGTAAGTCCAATTCTCAATCCTTAGATTAAGATCTACAATCTGAACATTCATAATCACAAAATTGCCACGAGACTTCTCAATAATCACAAAATTGTCACCGTGCAACTTTAGACCATTAGATCATTAGTTTATAAAGTTGATCAATGAACATAAATTGTTCTTACGGGTCTCACGAAAAACCCTTGGTCTCACGTGAACCTAATCCTACACACACACATACATATATATAGGAAAACCCCTAAAAATGAAAATACGAGGAACACTCTAATAACCGTTTACGTATACGGTATGCACATGTTCATACAATTAATTGAAGATATTTTCTGGTTTCTATGCACGTGAGCATGTTATGCATATGCGCATACCGGAAAAATTACTTACAAACTAAAATGATTACTATGGTGTTCCTCAGTTTTCCACATTTTATACGATTTTCCCTGAACCTGACCTTATATATAAATGTTTGATGGTTTGAGTCTTGTCGATGTGAGACTTCAACAAGCCCCTCAGATGAGGCTAGCCGGTGACCCCTAGAACACTACAAAACATGAGGCTTTTATCGGCGAAATAATCCGCCAGTAAAAGACATCAACTACAGATTACGAGTGGAATCATGTTGCCACAAAAATCCGTATATTTACCAGCGGATTGGTAATCATGTGGGACATGAGATTTTTATTCGATAAGAGAGGGGACGTTTCCACATGTATACATGTGGGACTCCAACATAAGCATCGGGAAATCGAAGTACTCACGTAAAAAGTTCTGAATTCATGTAGATTTCGGAGAAATTGACTCCGAGAGCCATTTCTTGAGCCGAAGTACTGATTTCCAACATCCATGTTGCGGGGTTATGTCCGTCTTTGATCCTACTTACGCCATCGATATCCTGGTTCACAAAAACAGTCGGATTTTAGTCGCGTACCAACTTATCATCATCGTACACTCGGTTAAACGTCTTACCTCAAAGTATTTTATGAGATCGCAAGAATGGCGACCTACGGGTCCAACATATATTTCTTCTCCTCCTCTTTTCAACAAGAATAGCTGCATTGAAAGATAAGCTCGTTGTGTAAGCGGAACGTACGAATCGGTTGTAGTGAATTTAACGAACGTAC